TGGCCTCAAATTTTATCGTGTTTGATGTGGTAAATAAGGTATCATATTCAGGTAGGTTTATTTGAGGCCCGATATTCAGAAATGTTCAGTAATCCTTGAATAAGTATAGGAAACTCACCTGGTAAGTCTGCTGTTTTAGCTCTTGTCTGATCTCTAAATCTCCAGGTTCCTGACATTCTGCATCAATCTTTACACCTTTTACATCATTAATTTTCCCTTCCTAGTTGGACTATGTGATCCTATTTTTCTACAGCGTTCTTCTTTTAGTGCCTGGTCACTTTTCAATTTGCATTTGTTTTCTTGGTTCCATCATATGTCATACTCTTCTGTATGTGCACTTTAATTTCAAGCCCCATTTGCTTTACCCATTGATCAGTCGTGTGGTACTTCAGGTATGAACTATAGTACCCATATAGTCACCACGAGCATTTTCATAACAAACTGATTTTATTTCACTTAGATTCTCCTCAAAAACTGTTTTTTTATTACCTGTAGGTGTATTTACTGTTTGCAACCTTTACTTTCACCTGCTTTGTAACTTCTGTGCATCCAGCCAGTTAGGATGCGTTGCTCTTGGTCTAATGATGCAGTTTGAATCTGGGATCATCATCACAAAAAGTCTGAAAATATATGCTACAGTGAAGCACTGAGCACCAAAGATGCATCTAGTTCAAAACAAGAGAAGATAAATGAGGATTTTCTCAGTGATTGCATGCTAGAAAAGAATTTGATGTAGTTACAGTTTTGATGCAAGAGAGCTCATTATGATTAAAAAATAAATACATAAATATACTACTTAGGTTTGGAGACTCAAGGGGGTTCATAATTTACCTGCAGATATCAAATTATTTATACTGACAGAAAATTTAAGTACCAGTCATCAATATTACTTCTGTACCTCCAATAACAAATCACAAATAATTACCTTTGATTGGAAAATAGTTCCCAAGCATGTTATAAATCACAGTGGAGAGTTAAGTAAACAACAAAAGGATATGTGAACAAACTTATCTTTTCAGAAGTTGTTTTTCTAGAATGCTGTTGATTCCCACAGGAAAAGATTACTTGGCTTGTAGACAGTAGCTTCTGTTGTTGTCACATACTTGTATTTCAGACACTGCTTTGTACTGACAGAAGTTAAAAAGCTTAACTAGAAGTTAGAAATGGCAACAGAAACCTCATTTTGTTCCAGTCGAGGAGAATCCTTTGGAACAAAGGCTTATCAGTTTGTTTGACTCTGTATTTTAGTAACAGTGCAGAATACTGAGACAGATTTTGATTTATCTCTGAATTCTCTGAGTTCTGGTGAATTATCTATGAATTCCATGTTTTTCCTGCTTTTAGAAGTGGGGAGCTCTAGCTGCCAGCTGCACAGGGGATGTTTTAGGCAGACAACTGACTTTGGACTTAATGTAATCCTCATTCACAGACTGCTGCTTCCTTTGCTATAGAAAACATAGTTCCATAGATACAGATTATACTCAAATCTATGACTCAGACAGATATTGTTTTTCTTTTATATGATAGCTCTATGGCGAAACCCTGTATTTTTCTTTTGACTGCAAGGCCATCTTCTAGTAAATGTGATCTCACCAGCAAATGCAGACAAAAATTGCAATATTGAGATTTCTCAGTTTAATTCCCTCTAAAAATGGAACAGTTTCCTCTTTAAATCCTGGCATAAAGCTTTTACCTGTGAATTCTGACATACTGAAGGACAGAGGAACCAGGGAACTGTTCCTTCAGTCCACTCCATACAGATTCCATTACCATAAGTTAATATATCAGTTAGTTTTTGAAGTGCAAAACACTTACAATCTTTTCTGCCTTGAATTACATATCAAATTAATTATAAATAAGTTGTTTTCTTCAAATTTGTTAACGTTCAGCTTCCATTCTAAAGCATTTTGACATATAGCCTATTTAAACAGCTTTAACTTCTGTCTCATAAATCTATAAGTAAAAATGTCATTTCCCCATTCCAAACTTAAATTTTGAGACATGCACTTTAAAGTCTATAAGTTCTTGAATATCTGTATTGTTCACTCTTAGTCAGCAGAGACAAGCATCAAGTTTGAAGTAAATACTGTGTTTATCTGCAAATCAATACACACCAATAATTTCTGACTCTGGAGACTTAATTATTCTTTCAGAAAACAGTCAAAAAGCACAAATACAAAGACTAAAGTTGATGTTTCAAACCACATTTGTTTTGCTTGCTAATTTAAATCTAAAGTACATTTTAATACAGTTGCACGAACAGTTATGATCGGCTTGAGGGCCAATGTTTAGAATCATTCTAAAGAGGAAGTGAACTTCTGGAAGTACGATTTTTTGTGCTGGGTCATCAGCATGGCTGACAAAAGGACATGTAGAAGGAGAACTCTTTTTGATGCTTGGTTCTTTGTGATCTTTCACAGCCAGCTTAATCTACCACTTTCCAAGGGCTGCTAATATGGTTACTAAGATATAGGGATGCAGTTTGCCCCCAGAGTCAAGTATGCAGCCCATGGTGCATTTTATCAGCTGCAGGCTCATCTTCCTGAAAAATTCATGTGCTAAAAAATAATCACAATGAAAAGACTGTGTGCTCTGGTTATCTCTTCCTGTGAGAGGGAGGGAATGAATTTTACAGCTTCTGTAAACAATGGCATGGACAAGATTGCTTTACGGGTCCACTCAGATTCAAGCTGGCCAGCTGGCAGACGTGTCCTTATGGCACCAACAACAGATACAGCTATTTGTTTCTGCTGTTGTCCACAGAGGGTTGGTATGCTTCGGTTTCTTTCAAAGCTTTTCCTAACTAAGAAACAGTGTTCTGTGCTACAAAATAGAAAAAATAGATATTTATCAAATGTCAGTTGGAGAACACAGATACCCATATGAATTTGTACCACAAGTAATCCCAGGGCCATTTTCTCAAATAAAGGCTCAATCTTTCTCTGTGTTTTATCAGAACTAGTCAGTTTTTTCTACCACTTTGTTCAATAAACTGCACTTACAGACTGCAACTTACAGATAAGAGTTTAAAGTGTAAATGGAAAAAGGTGTATCTGTGTGAGTTGTTTATTAAACTATAGCAGATAAGGACAAATACATTTGTGGAGCTCTTTTGGATTATTTTTCTTCTAGGTATGCATTTTGAACCCTGCTTCAGTGTTTAACCAACAATTTAGGTAGTCTGCTTTAGAAATGGAGAAAAATTTATCTTTCTACAGCCATTTCTGTGCAATAATTTAACAAACTAAACAATGTTATTTCATCCTGTCAATTATCTGGGACAGTTCGAAAGGGAACCTTTTAAAAGGCAGAGCATTCCACTGTGGCAACAGAATAATTTTGAATAAAATCTTCCAACACACTTCTATATAAAAACTTATATGTTTAGCAGTCTAAAGATTTTTCAACCAGAAAAATAATACTAGAGCAGAAAAATAAGTGACTGCACATAAGAAAAGTTGCTGACAACTCCCAGGTTTTCTGTATTTTGTTCTTGGAGGTGTTACGCAGGCTTACCCTGCCAAGTCCAAGTTTATACAATGTGAAGCATGAATATATGATACGCAGCAAGTATTTTTCTAGCTTCAGTTTTGCGTTGTGTAAGTAATTATTGCTAGCTAGACTTGGGTGAATAGCCAGCAGCTGGGGATAAATTCAGTAAGGCAAATCCAGATACTGGAACTTAATATTTGGCGTGAGCTCCAGCTGCTGAGTGCTGGTTTGCAGAACATTCTTCATGAGTCCTCACTGAAGTCGTTAATATCACATCAGTATTCATGCAACAGCTGAATAAACGTCTCTAGTCTAGAGCTCTGCCTTGAAGTGATATTTTTCAGGATGTTCTTAATGCATATTCATTGCACCTGCTCAGATTTTCATGAACGGACAAAATACCAGTTCTTTCTTATTTGGGATATAACCCATCATTTAAATGTGAGAGAACTGCGCTTTTATGTTTTGAGAGTGTGTTTATTGGAGAACAGACTCACTAACACGCTGTGCCAAAAATCAGATCACGATTATAATATTTCCCTCTCTACGTTGGGTTTCCTCTCTGGGCTGCCTCTCTGGGTTTATATGGCCTTCCTCCTTTTTTGCATTGTCTCTAGAGCACAATAGCTTCCTACTCCTATCTGCCTTTTTTTAAGTAGGGACTTCACTGTCCCATGCTTTTGTAAAATGTATAGCACAAATGAAAATGAATTAGTAAATAATGTTCAGATGATTTTAAAAAGGAACATGGTTTCCTTTACACAGCAAATGTCATCTTCTGATCAAGGTAAAAGAGAATAATTGAACTGTAGTGTAAAGGAGGATGTCCCAGATTTAGTCCTGGGGGTTTGTGGTGATGTAGTTGGACTGGGTATTTGGGCTGATCTACAAACAATGGCCTTGGGAGAGCAACAGAGTCTTGGAAGTAAGGCATAGAAATATATTCAGATGCAGGATTTCCAGGAGAGTCCTAAAATATACAGGGAGATTTTGATATAGGAACGTTAATATTGTAAAAGGTTAGAAGAAAACCCTGCAAAGGCATATTGAGAAGCATTGCAAAGGAATGATAAGGGCAAAATTCTGTGTGGAAAGTATGTACTCATGTAAAATGAAATGATAGGGGGAAAGATGTTTAGTATCATCTGTTGACATGCACTGAGAGATGGAGTAGAGTTTAGTAATGAATAGCTCCGGGTTATCAAAGTGTAGTTTTGCATAAATTAACTTTCTTCATTTTTGAGTAATCCATAATGAATCAAAATAACTATAATGGCTCAAAACTTCTGTAACCAGTGTGTACTTTATATGAAGAGCTAGTGGACGTACTGCATTCAGGTCTTGAAAAGTAAATATGAAGCAGCAATGCAAGCAGTAGAATGAACACCAAATCAAATAGTTAAGCAAATTACTCCAAAGTATGGAACAAAGGATTCTGGTTTTTGTGTTACAGAAGTTGACTATCTATATGCAAATTATTAGTAACAGCAGGGATTTTTCTTTTTTAGCGTGACTCTGAAATGCGTAGAAAGAAAGGAGTTCCTGCTGTTGTTAATTAAAAACATGTCTTCAAATGCACAAAAACGAAAAGTTGCAAAAGGAGGTTTAAGCTGTACTCTGGTAAGTTATATTAATGAATATAATAATTCACTGCAAAATAGCATTTTTATCCCTGTGCTAGTTGCACAATGGCTTTACATACTTAATAATTTTCACTACAGCTTCATCAGTCCTCAAAGAGAACAGCAGTATTTTCTCTCAGTTAATTAAAGCTAGCAATATAATATCCATGACTTCATCCACGTGTTTGTGCCAGTACACTATGAAAGTAATTGTATCAAATCCAATGTTGGGCTTAACTTTTTGAGTGCCTGATGCCCAAAATGAAATTGAATGCCTGTGTTAGGCACATGGGCTTCTGAAATGCCTGAGGGGTGGCTGGGAGCCCCAGGATGGTGTCTGAGGGAAGTAAAGGCTTCAGTTAGCCAATTTAACGTTCTTTGTTGGTAACCTGAGACTACTTTCTGGAACTGGGATGTGCCTACTTTTTTGGTTACTATTTTTTCATTTGTAGAGGAGGACATTCGTATCAAAGATCTCAGTGGGGCTCTTTATTTTCTTGGAAAGGGCAATTGTGTTTTGAGAATGTTATGGAAAATCTTTCTTCTTTATGACAATCACAAGAAACATTGGTCCTTACTCTAAGAGAGCTAATCATTAGCTGTTTCTCAATTAAGCACCTAATTACCAATGTTTTACAGCTTGGGGGTAGAATTGTTTCCCCTGCTGCTCTTGAAGTGACACTCTTTTACAGGAAAAATATTTGAGATCTGTGAGCCAAACAGAATCTCAAGAGGCTTAATTCTGCAGATGGAATGATGGAGCTTATCTAGGAAGTAGCAAACATTAGGACCTGGCTTCCGCTCTCTGAGTTTTATCAGGCGTGGGACAGACAATGCTCCTGTCACTCTAGGTAGCCTGGTGGCTGGACAACTCAGACAATAAAGAGTTGTGGGTATGTTGTGAGCCTTGATACCAGATTTTCCTGTGCTTTGATAGTCTTACGTGAAATATAGATATCACCATTGTCACAACCATCTCTAGAAGACAGTGACCGTAACTTCAGTATGTCATGCTCTGGTTCTGATGGTACAGTCAGCCCTCTCAGTCCGTACTCGTTGGATTGGTAAATTGGGTAGTTTGCTTGTACTGCTGGCTCTACCGCTGCAGCTCTCTGGATCAGGAGGAGATCTCTGTGCCTTGCAAAAGCTTACAGCTATCAGGAAAGTGGCTGTTCAGAGATATCCACGCTGCAATGCTGTTTTGGCAGTGAGGTGTTTGTTTTTAATGAGAATTCTAGAAGCATTTTTCTCAATCCCACAAAACTTTTCTTTTAGGTTAAGTTTTTACTGGGGATATCTCATTCCCATTAAAAAATTATTATCTCTTTGTGATGTGTGTGGCAAAAAGCAGCTTATTTTCACTTTGGTGTCACTGTGATTCCAAAACACGTTTTTCCAGTTGTAGATTTCTGTATATTAATCTTTATAATATTTTAAATGAGAAATAAGTTTATGGTTGGACATATTCCTCCAAGGATTGATCATCATGGTAATGAATAAAATAATTTTATTTAGCTAATTGTTATTCTGTTGAAAGTCATAATTAAAATTTAGTCTCCTACCAGCAATTACTCCTCAGAACTCATGTTTTATTCAGTCTGTAAATCTAATGTGTCATTCATAGTGCTGTTATACTTATGACATTGTAATGGCAAAAGTGAAAATCAAATCAACATTCTGCTGTCAGAAAAAGAGCAGTAGATATCAAAGTAATGAATATAGAGTGAACATATATGCAAATGGCCTAGGAGAGCAAAGAAGTTCTTGGCATTTCTCATTTTGAGCATAGATCAAGCTAAATTTCATCATGTGAAAGAAGCTTATGTGGATTATGTGGTTCATCTGCCCTGGCTGTAACCTCACAAGGAATGATTTAAGAAGCGTTTCATATTCTTGCTAAAAAAAAATAGGTAATGATTAATAGATGTCTAACCTGGCAAGAATAGATAAAGGACTGTGATGACAGAAAGATACCTTTCTATTAGATGATGTGATGACTAGACTCACAAATAGGGAAACAGGGAAGATGGAGCTTTTTGGCTCTACTCTGTTCCTTGCAGTTGCCAATAAGACATGGGGCATTTTTTCCAGGAGGGTGGGTGGGTGATGACCCAGTTTCCCTAGAAAAACATTTGGTGACCTGAACTTGGTGGTGAGTCTGTAGGTCTCACTGATGTGCTACTCTCTGGTAATCTGTATTTCTTGGGGCAGACTTGCCTTGTGCCATGGACATGCCCTGCTGCCTGGAACCAAAGATGTGTCATAGTGCTGGAGGAACAGTGAGTGTTGGGGGAAATGCGTGCTCAAGTCTTCTACTGCACAAGGTCAGACACACAGGTATGTGCACGTGGACTAAGGCCCTGGGCAGTATACCTAGGCTGAATATAGAGAGACATAATCTGCATGTCTTGGCTTTGTTTGTTTGTTTGTTTTGTTCTTGTGTATTGAAAATATTCATTCACTTTTCAAATACTTCCTTCGCTGACTTTTCTCTGATGCAACTTCCTGGAATGATTTTTGTTGTATTTGTGCCTCATCTTTTTTGAAGCTGGCCTTTGAAACTGTAAGGGGTACGTTTTGCTCAGAACAATTCAAATGATGACATCTAAGAATGGTATTTTTAGAGCAGATTCAAAATATTCTGTCTTTTAAAAGCCTGTATATGACATGCTGCAAAAAGTAATCATATGGGCTGTGTCAATTATTGGTTTGATTCCACAGGAAGCCACCTTTGCTTATCTGAGTGAAAACCCAACTTAGATATGTGGTATTTTTAAGAATTCAGATAGGTAGTTTGCAATATGAGATGACATTGTAGAAATAAGCATTGGTACAAAAGAGGGAAAAAGATGAAAACACTTGCATAAGCAAAAAATACGTTATGGAAGGTCAGAATTTTGTTCTCTGTGGATGTCAAAAGATGGGATGAATAATATCCTTTGTGCAAAGAATACCTCACCAGAGGCATAAAACAGATGTCAAGTATGTACTGGGAAGGTCTGGGTTATCTAAAGCATATTTGGGTTGAGAGATTATATACTTCCTATACCAGCACTTCCTAGCCTTGAGGCCTTTGAAATATCACTGTCAGTAAAAACTCTGAAACCATGAACTATGGAAAAAAATGTTTGAAGGAAAATAGCACAATGATATAATATTTATATATGCATCTCTGTAAGGAAATAAGTAAAATATGTGTGAATAAAAGTAAGATATGAGTGCTTAAAAAATGTAGATAAAAATTATTTTGACTACACTAGCCAAGATCCTTGGATTTTTTAGAAAAAATATTTGATCATCTATCTGTGATTAACCAGATTAGTGTCAGAGGATTGATTTCCTTCTTTAAATTGAACTAGAAGAAAATAGAAATCTGTATTTACATTTGTATCAATAATACATTATATTCGTATCAAAAGCAACTTTTTTGTAATTCCTCTCTGGATTGGAATACAACAAATATTCTTGGGCATTTGCACCAAAGAGCTGGCTAGGAGGATTCTTTTGTGGCTGAGAACAGAGACTGCAACAGAATACAGAGGAAAATAGTAACAACAGATGTAGAAGTAGAAATGGAAAAGATTGAGGTGAGAGGTTTTTTTAATTTTTTTTTTTTTTTTCCAAGATGGCTTAAGTATTTTAAAAGCTTATGGAAGAGGATTGTGTGAGAGATGGCAAAGGTCTGGGCAGCACTGAAGCGTGACCTGCAAAGTGAGCAGCACAGAAAGCTCTGGTGAAATGGAGAGTAACAGCAGTGTACCAGGGGGAGGAACAGGAAACCTGAACAGAGGATGGAAAGAGCTATCAGCTGACTTTCCTAGCCTTCACTTACAAGGCTTGAATAGGTGAAGTCAGCTTTTGCTTAGAATTGATAAATTCTGACCTGCTCAGTAGAGCCTGAGGTGGTGTTGTTCATAGCACTGCTTGTGCAGAACAAACAACCTGTTCTTCAGGAGGTTCATTCAGACGTCTGTGCTCTCATTCTTTCAATTCAGTGTTATCCAACAAGTTTAGGTCTCTCTCTTTAACATTAATTTTGGTAAGAATGGTAAGAATTTTAAATGGGAGCCGAAAAAAGACCCCAGCTTTTTTTGTAGACTAGAATGTCTTCCATGAATCTAAATTAAAATCATTTAAACAAATGGATTCTCTAATTTCTGTAGCATTAGTTCAAAGAAATCACAACACAGGGATTAGTACTCAGCAGACTTCTTATTTTATTATATAAAATAATTGCCTTTTAAATAGTTTCCAAATTAACATTTTAATATCCCCCTGGGCTTACACATTTTAGAAACATAATATAACTCAGTACTTAATACAGAAGAACCCTATTTCCATTTCTACTAAATTAGTCTCCTGTATAAATTTAAATCATTTTTAGTGCAAACAGCAGTAGTTCTTCTTTTCCAAGTCTTATACTAGAAGCAAAAACTGAACATTTTCATCAGAGGCCATTTATTAGTTGAAGAGCTTAATGTCTTTGTATTTCTTGGTAAGGTATTTGTGAAAAATAGTCTCTTATGTTTCATGTCTTTGTATTTTATTATATTTCATCAGGGAAAAATATAAGACAATATATGCAGCTCAATTCTCTGGTGACTTTTGCATATTAAAAGCCATGGATAACAACAATTATATATAAAATTCATTTTTATCTGTTAAAATTTTTAATTTCTGGCTTATTATATTAAATATAAATATGTTTGGTTTTTTTTTTTATACTTTCACATAATTTTTTTCAGTAGTGCATCTTCTGATAGTAAGAAAAGCTTTCCTCTTTTCTCATTGTGTTTATCTCACACTCAGGCCTGAAGCAAATTTATCACTCTGTCACACTATCAAAACCAGCTAACGTAGCAAGAACTTTAAACTAGAATCAAGATGGTAGGTGGGAAAAGATTTTGTATTTGCAAGGTACACATCAAGCAGGACACAAAAAGGTGAAGGAAATAAAGGAGAGGTATCATGCGGGTGCAGTAGCTCATGAGCCAGCTGTCTCAGCTGTCTGTTGGCCCCCAGAACACAGCTGGAGAACATGGCATGCTGGGGCTCGCAGTGAAGCTAACAACTGGGATGGTAATTGGAAAGAAAGTACTCAGGAAGGACAGGTAAGGCAAACAGGGACGTTGCCATATGTTACATGAAGTCAGACCCTTCCTGAGATGCAAAACAACTTACTGGTTACTGGTAATGGTTAAAGCGAATGTTTTAAAGCAGTGCAGCAGCCGTTTCTACACATTGTACCTAGACCAAAGCGATATCTGGGAGTTGGCAGAGTGAAAAACATGAATAAAACCAAGTATGAATATTTGTCATGACCTATGTTTCTTGACCCTCTGGCACAACAGCTCAGGCCTTGGCACTGGGTGCACCTGAGCTTTACTGCCTGTGCTCTGCCCATGGAAAATCCTGCATGAGAGCACTCTCAAATGGTATTTTTTTGTTCCCTAAAGAACTTCCACAAATGTTTCCTTGCTGATTTTCCATGTGTAAAATCCCATCTCTGAAATCAAAGGCAATTTCCTATTAATTCTATTAAGGCCCAGAAAACTCTCTGGTACAGGTGTCTGCATCTCCTGTAAAGTAGTAAAACTACTGTAGTAAAAGTAAAACAGTCCAGTAGTAAAACATTTCTCCATAGTCATTGCAATTGCAAAGTAGACAACCTTAATTCTGCAGTGATCTAAAACAGTTAAAAATAGAGTTTATTGTCCTGTCTATTGAAACTGTTGTTAGTGTGATTCAAGATGCTGGAAGATCCCAATATTAAAGAGAGAGGCTACTAAATTAGCTCCACTGGAGGAAACAAAAAGCAAAACAAAACAAAACAAAACAAAACAAAACAAACAAAAAAAAAAACATTAACAGAATATTCAGAACTCTTTGTTTACTCCTTCAAAGAAGGAGGCTGAAAATTGCCTTATTTGAAAGAAACTTGAAAAATATGTGTAGGGAGCAGAGAATGTTACAACACATGTTTATGTGAATTGAAGGGGTGCGTGCATGGTGGTAAGGAGGGTTGTTAACTGACTGTGAATATCAGGCTGCAAAACTTTGAGCTGCAAACTCAGCCATTGATGCTGGTAAGAAAGAGTGGCGGATTTGTAAAGCAGGCTCTTGCAAGAAAATGCAAAAATTGCAAAGTATGTATTTTTCTTGTAACTGTAAGATGTGTAAAGCTTGAGAATTTCTGGCTCCAAACTGGACATCACCTACTTAGTAAGTAAAACAACTTCAGAAAAGCTGTATTGATTTGAAAGTCACAAGTTGCATATTGAGGAGGTTTACAAGAATCTTAATCCTATTATTTGTCAGTGGAGGCAGATACAGCCCTGCAAATATAAGTAGATTTATTTAGAAAAATCCAACCCAGTAAATCAAACCAAAGCACTTTTCTTTTTAAGAGGTGGATATGAGGTTAACTGTAGCTGCCTTCAAATGTTGGGAAAACTCATAGTAAATAAATAAAAACCTCTGAGGTTTTCAAGGGAGCTTAACTGCTAGTTAGAAGACCTTAGCTATATAATTCCCTCATCTAATTTATTCTCATGCACTTTTTGTTCAGAATTTTGCAGAGCAACCCATGGCATTTGTAGGCTGTGATAACTGGTTGGTTTGTTGTTGTTTTTGGGTTTTTTTTTGTAATCATGATAACAGGGGTAGGTGCATTCAGGCTGCTGTAGCTCTTTGTGATGGAGTGATGAGAAACCAAAACATCTGCCTCTCATTAAGCCAAGTCCTGACTCATTCTGGGGTGGATATAATCTCTTAAAGCATTCCAATATGGTAAGAGCATTGACAGTTAATTCAGAGAAGAGGAGGAGAAACAGAATGTCAGAGGAAGGGAAAAAATAGGTGAATGAGAAATTGATGTTGGGGACTCACTACACAGGAGACTGCACCGGTCTGAGGGGTAAGAGAATGTAAAACAGTAATGAAGCTTAAAAGACTCTGAGGTTAGATTACAACAGATAGCGCTCCTACACTCTTAAAATAATTAGTCTGTACCTTTCCTTATCTATACATTTCTCCTGCACACATTAATTATGTAATATTCCTGATCTGATAGGAAGCAGTTTTATTACAGAGTTCCTTGAGAATGAGCAAAATGCATATAGCTGAGTATATACTTATCTCTCTTTGGGAGGACAGTTGTTTCCTGAAAGAAAGGAAAGGGACTCTAACTGGCCATAATCTGATCCTTCCACTTTGTGATGATGCGCTATGGAACTCTCTCAGATCAATCTAAAAGCTATCTAGAATTCAAGTTAGAAAATACAGTTTTGATACAGATAAAGAGGTAAAAACGCTCTGGTTCCCATCCTCCCTTTTGT